GAAGGCTGTCCCAGCCAGCGGAACCCCCAGGGAATAGGTGGTCCTGACCTTGAGCAGTAGCTGGTATTTCATGATCCTCTGCACTGGTTTGATGAGCAGGTCGCTGAGCTGCAGGCGGTGCCCTAGCTGCTGCCGGAGCTCCTGGCGACAAGGACAGGGTGGTTACGCAGCCTGGAGAGCCCGATGATTCTGTCCCCCTTCCCCCAAGGTACCTCAGCCACTGACCTCAAAGTAGCTGTCCCCAAATTCTGACACCACATGCTCTGACTTGGGCTTATTCTGACAGTACACCACGTACATATGCAGCCGGCGCTCCTAACAGGGGTCGAGTTTAAGCAGAGCAGGACGGGTGAGGCGAGAGAACACTTCTGGGGAGCCTCGACCCACTCCCGAGCCCCGCCCCTTCGAGGCCGCCCCCTTAAGCCTCACGTGTTTGATGAAGAGCTGAGCCAGCCAATCAGGATCCTTCAAACACCGCTGTAGCTCCTCCAGGAAATAGCTGGAGGGGTTGGTGAGGAACAGGCTGGTCAAATACCCCCACCCTACTCAACTGAGAGCTGTCAACCCTAGCTGGGCCATTAAGCCACTCCAGACGTTGCTCAGGAGACTGCGGGCCCATGGCTAGGTTACAGAGACAACAGAGGTATGCCCTTCCACCTCGCTTTCGGGGATCCACCACTCACTCTCGATGCCACTCATAGATTTGCTGGACGTTCCCGAACACAATCCTGTCACGGCCTCGAAGACTCTCCGGGACCCCCTGAGCAGCCATGGTGGCCATGTAACCCTATGAGAAGGTTGGGGTGGAAGCATGAGTGTGGGGGGGGTCAGCCTTGACGGGGGAAACCCCCTCCCCCAAGAAGTCCAGGATGTAGAGGGGACTGGGAAGATGGGACAGAGGAGCACTAAGGCATCCCCTAAAATTAGCCTTGAGCAGAGGAAAAGGGCTGGGCTAGGGCTGGGGAGAGAAAAGGGAACTACCTCCACAATCTGCCCCAAGTCCTCCACGTACATTTTCTCTGTCTCTACCAGTTCACTCAAGACATACCTGGGAAGAGAGCAGGAGTGCACATCCTTGGTTTAGCCACTACCTCCCTCCTGGACTAGAAGCCCCTTCATTACCATAGCCAACCTCAGAGGAAATTCCAAGTATTAAATCTAAAATGTGAGGGACAGTTCTCTGGAAGTTGCACAATGGTGGGGGGGGGGGCAGAGGGGAGGGAGTGTGTGGGGACACTTACATACTCCTTTCCAGAGCCTTCTTCTTCTGTTCCTCCTCACTCTCAGGGGCTTGGGACAGAGTTTCCTCCTCAGGTGGCTGGAAGGGCAGAACATCCTAGAGTCAGCACACGGATGCTTTTGGGAAGCCATACAGACCCGTTTCTTCATACCTGTGTCTTATCTCCAGGACCCTCCAACAATGTGGTCAGCAGGGTGAGTTCTGGCAGCTCCTCTCCTGTGGTGAGAGCTGGTTCCAGCATCCAGTTCTGGGAGCCAGAGGTCAAGTGTCAGAGGTCATGGACAGTAGCTATGTCTCCCCAGCAGCCAGTGGCCCCCAACCTGCCCCTCTCTCCCAGTGTCTTTCATGGATTGTCCTACCTGCTTTTGTGGTGCCCCCTGCTCACCTCATATGGTCCAGCCTGGCCACCGTCTGCCTCAGTTTCCACACTGAGACAATGTTTGGAATGATCCAACCATCTTCTCAGGCCACTGACTGGCCCTGGGGGGCCCGGGGAACAGGGGCCAGAGCTGAGGCCAGAGCTGGGGCCAGAGGGGGCAGCCAGACCCGAAGCAGCTGAAGCTGAGATACTCCCCTCACTGCCAGCAATGGAATAGGATTCTAATGGGGAGTGGGGGAAGAAAAGGGGCCATAGATATTACTCCAGCTCTAGATTCAGGGCCCTAGGGAGCTCCCAGAGGCTCTTCTTCATAATGCTGAGCCCTCCCCCAGGGCCCACTCTCTTGTCATCCTCATTGGATTTGGCCAGGATAGAAAATTGCACCTGGGCACCCTTGGGAGGGAGGACAGTAAACACCCGGGCTCCCAAAGCCTGGAACCTCCAGTTTTATGTGGATGCTCCCCCATATCCAGAGCACGCCACAGATATGGTTGGCCAGGCATCTGGGCAGACAGGGGAAGCTGGGGTGGCCATCTGCTCTCCTACAAGCCGCCCCTTCCAATGGGCACAGACCATTCCCTGAGAAGGTGGGGGGGAAAGAGCTAAAAGGCCATCTGCCACCCCCCAGACCCCTCCTGCACCAACTGCAGTAATCACTATAAAAAGAAAAGACTTCTGCAGCCCATCTCCCCAACACATGCACAAACCCAACTGGGGAGGGGAGGCAAGTGAGGAGAGCTCATTAGGGTTATCTTTGCCCTGGGTCAGGAACAGAGGATCAGAGATTTGTCATAAAGTCCCAGGTAGAACCTCATCCTCATTCCTCCTTCTCTCTGGCCCTCTTCAGATCCTTAGTAGATTCTCAGCAAAAGGATTTAAGGAAGATCCGGTTGTAGGCCCAGGGGGATTGTGGATGGGTTTTTCTCATACCCAGTTGACTACAAGATGGAGAGAAGAGTTTCCTGCCCCTTCCCCAATTTCCTTAACTTAAACTGATTAAAAATTTGGAGGCAGAAGGGATCTTGGAGATCTACTAAGTCACTTTCCTGGAAAACACAGGTACAAGTCTCCAGCCTCTGAATCCCGAGGGCCAGGTCAGTCTGACGCCCTGAACCCTCAGCCCGCCCCCCACTCAACGCTGGGCCCTTGCGACCTCGCACTCACCACGACCCCCCCGGGCGAAGCAGCAGCCGCATTTTGCCAGCACTTTTCGAATCACGTGGGGACAGGCACAGCGACCCCCCTTGTGCCCCCCCCCGCATGGCGCCCGGGCCCCCCCGCACCCCCCACCCGGGCCGGCCATGCAGGGGGAATCACGGGGGGCGGGGCGGGGACGGCGCAGGGCGCACACCCCCCCTCCCTCCTACCCCGCTCCAGGCTGGGGAAGGAGGGGAGGGAGGGAACAGGGAAGGGGCGTCCAGGGGTAGGCGGAAGTCTGGTCTGGGGGAGGCCTGGGGGCTCTGCAGAGCGGGCGGCGCGAGGCCGGGCAGCCGAGCTGGGCGGGGAGGGTTTCCGGAACCCAGTCGGTGCGGGGCCCAGGGTCCAGATGTCCAGCGGGGCGGGGAGGGATGGTGGGGGAAGCTGGGCCGGGATGCGGCAGCCGCTCCAGCTCCGTCTCTGGCCTCTCGGGTTTGGGGTGGTTCTAGGCCCGGGCAGGGAGAAGGCGGGGGCCGACTCCCCGAGTCACTGGCGCTGCGCGGGTCCCAGCCGAACGGCGAGCGGAATAACAGGCCCAGCCGCGGTGCCGCCGCGGGGAGGGGCCTCTGCGGCCCAGCTCCTCCCTCTCCCTCTGGTTTCCCCCCTTCAGCCTGTGCCGGGCTCCAGCCCCAATCCCCCTCCCCCAGGCACCACCACGTTCCCACTCCACGTCCCCACAGCCTCCGCCTCTCCTCTCCAGCCTCGGATCCCCGCCCCGGGTTCCCCTCCCTCCTGCCTCTCGCGCTCCCGATTGCGGAGCGCTGGGGTCGGGGGTAAGCCGCGCGGCGGGATCTGCCCATGTCGCCCCTCCGCCTCTGTGATGGGGAAGGGTGCGGACGGATGGGCCCGGGCCTGTGTGAAGACGTCCTGGGGGCTGGGACTGTCCCTAGCCGCGCAGGGGTAGACAAGCCCCCTGCCCTTTGGGGACGCGTGAATGGGGAGCTCTGTGGGGAACACAGCCCAGGTGCCGCCCTCTCGCCAGACCCTTCTTTCCTCCAGGCCCCAGGACTCCAGCTGAGGCTAATCACCAATTAAGGCGAAGTCCCGGAGCCCGGGCTGGCGAGGAGCCAGGGGTGGGGCGCGGGGACACTCCGCCTGTGGGGGCTCGGGGCCGGCTGATGTGGGGGACACACAGAGCACTAGAGGGCGAGAAGCGTGGAGGTCTTGGGAATTAAATGGGTCTCATGCAGATTAGATGCAAGCCTTTATGCTAATAAGAGCAGCATTATTTGAATTCGCCACTTTGCGCAGGAGGGCAAACCGTGCCCCACCCCACCCCCAGCGTCTTACCGGGCAGCGGAGCCCAGGCGGGGACCTCACGTTCGCGCTCCCCTTTCTGGTCCCCCTCGGTACAGTCAGACTCTGTCTCGGTCCCTCCTGGCTCTAGGGGGCTTCCCTTAGGGGGCTGTGGGGAAAGACTGGTGGTAAGGAAACCGCCCTCCACGCCCAGCCTCGACCTCCCGCTTCTCCTTCTTCCTCCTGTCAAATCCACATTGTTGTGAAAGGGTCGCCTAGGCTGGGTTGGAGGGACGGGTTCACCCAGACCAGGGCCTTGGCCCTCTTTTGGAACTCATGGATTCCTGCGACTGCCCTGCAGAATTCCTATTTGCTGGTAAATTGAGTTGTAGGGTGCAGACCACCTGAAGCCCCCTAAAGATTCCCAACCTCACGGTGGTCCCTCTTTCTTACCCCCTCCTGCCCGGGGAGGGCGCATGCGCGCAGCATGCCCCCCATGACCCCCAGTATCCGGTCCGTGCGGCCAGGGGCGGGGCGGTCCGGGGGCTTCATGCTGGACCCCTACCCTGCTCCAAGTTTCAGGGCGGAGGGGGCAAGGAAACTTGGGGACTCGAGGCCTGCTCGCGTCCGGGGAGTTGCTGCTGTCGAGTCCGCCCCCTGCCCGGCTCCGCCCCCACTCCCACCCGAGCCAAACTTCTCAAAGGGGTAGGGTTTTTGCTTTCTCTACAACCAAAGTTCAATAACAAACAAACCCCTCTTAATCCCGATCCAGACGTGGATGTGTCAGGAGCCCACTAAATCGTGCCGTCTCCCCAGGCACTCTGGAGGCAGAGATAGGGGAGACACACAGGGATTTCCCCGATCGCCACCCCCTTCCGCTTCTCAGCAGGTTCCGCTCCCCACCCCACCCCCACCCTGGTCTACAGAACAGAGCGGGTGTGGCAGAGAGTTGCATATTTTATTTTATTTTTATTAAATTAAAAGCTACAGTCTGGCGGCGATTCCAGAACAGGGTAAGGAGGCTCCTTATAGGGGGCAGAGAAGAGCGGGAGACAGACGGACAGAGGGAGACACAGGAGAGAAAGGACAAGGTTAAGGTAGAAGGGGGACTGTTTCTGAAGAACACACAAGGCCGGCTTCTTGGGGGCACACCTCGGCCCCATTCCTCCTCCCCTACAGCTAAGTTCAGCAGTGGAGCAGTCTGTGGGGGCAGGGGCTCAAGAGACCCTCCTTCCCCACCCAGGTCCTTTCTCAGCTTAGTCACTGGAGCACAGCACATACCAGAAAAAGCCAAGGGCAATGGAGGGGGTAGGGAAATTGGGAGTATGTACAGGGGGAGGAGGGGAGAAGAGCCTGGGAGATCCCTCCGCCAGAAGGGAGTGGCTCACTGCACTGAAGCACTTGGCCTGTGGGGGACAGGGGAAGGGATTGCCCCCTCCCTCTCTGAACTCCTTCCCCAAGTCAGACTGATCCCCTGTTTGTGTGGTGTGGGGGGCAGAGGGAGAGAGGAGAACAGAGGCTTCCGCTGGGTCCTATGGAGAAAGACAAGGGCTTGGCAAAGGGGATGTCCTTCAGTCATCTGTGATACCCTTGGCTCTCAGCTCTTCTTGCACCCGGGTCAGGTAGGTGGGGTCCGGGTACCCAAACCTGGGAGCAAAAAGGAATGAAGGATTAGCTGTTGCAGCTTACTCCTATTAGCCTCAAGCTCACCCTCATTCTGGGTGCCCCATTCCAGCCCCTCCTCACCGCCCCTAAGGATATCCAAACGGGAGATAACTTAGCCCAGTTCTCCTTATTTTTGTAGGTTAAGCTGGGCATACTGGACCAGGCTGAATGTAGAGAAACTGGGATGGAAGAGGTGGTTGAATAGTTTGGGGGTGGTCCTCTGCAGTGAGGAAGTTCCCACAGAGAGAGGGGAATACTGGAAATGGAGAGAAGGGGAGGGGCCAAGGGAAAGGAAATGAAGGAGGGTCGCACAGCTGGGGTCCCCCTGTGCAGCTGGTCTTGTGGTGGATGTCGTTCCAGGTGATGACATTCGGTCTCCCTGTGGTCATGGACGTGCCGATGGTGAAGGTGAGACGCTGGTCAAATGCTTTGCGGAACAGGGTCAGCACCTTGTTGCCCTCAGGGCAGTCCGGGAGGTAGGCCACCCTTGTGGTGCCAGGATACCGAACTCCTGGGTTTGGATGTTCAGCCTGGGAGGAGGGGGAAGCAGAGAGGACAGTGAGCAGCTGGGCATCTGAAGGCCCATGATGCCCATGGAGGGTCCCGCTGGCCAGTTGTCTGTCTGCGCATCCCTCGAGGATGCTGATGGGGCAGCAACAGGCTGACGGCCTCTCAAGGAAGGAGAGGCTTCTTTGAAGGGTTTGGACAGCAGGAGCCTGCTTTTGGACAAAATCCTTACAGTTAAGTAAGTTTTTTCTGCTGCCTCAATCCTTCAAGCCTCAATGCAGCAGCGAATGGATTCTTAAAAGTGATGGAAAGTAGCTGGTCCTTACCAGATAACTCAGCAGAAACGTGAAGACTGAGAATAATCTATCTTCCAGCCTTCCCTTCTCCACCTGAAAACGCTCCCAGTGTTTCTCGGCCTGCCTAACCTGTTCCACTTTCCCATTACTCTTCTTCAGAGCTTCCCCGGCCCTCTGCAAACCAGGACCGAAAATTACTCTTGCTTCGTCGATCAGGAAGACACTGGATAGGCCCCTGACCTCTCCTGTTTTAACCTTCCACTGTCATCAAGGTTTTCCTCTCATTAATCCGGACCGAAGTAACACTCAGTGCTCTGTGAGGAGGGTCGGATCCCTTCCTGCTGTGCCTGCCTGCCCTGAGCCACCCCCTCCATAGACCTCACCGCCGCCAAGAATAGTTGTCGACATCCAAGTTCACCACGGAAATAGTATGCAATTCCTTTCTCTCACACCTGATTTTCCCGTGTGCCTTGGAGTCGTGGGACAGAAAAGCTGGGCCTGAAGGGGACCTCCTAGCTCAGGGGCCCTGAGTGGGAGGGCATACTGGGAGCCAGCAAGACTCCCTCGCGTCTAACAAACACACTCCCGTTCACCCAGTTTCCCTAGGTCGGAGAACACACTCGGGGCAGGGCGGGGGTCGGGGGGCCAAAGTGGAGGAAACCAGAGGGCAAAGGCAGGCCGTAGGTCTTCTTACCCCCTGGACACCGGGCGGGAAGACGTACTGGATGACGATGGTGCCGTACTTCTCATAGCTGGGCAGCAGGAGCGTGGCGTCCTTAGAGACCAGCATCCGCCCATTCTGCGGCTGGTTGCCCACCAGCTGCCCATAGAAGCGGCCACACATGGGACAGGCCTTTTTCACCTGCAGGGCCCGGGTGATGCAGCCCTCACAGAATGAGTGCCGGCACTTCTCCAATGTCTTGGCGTTCTGGATCTCCCCCAGACAGATGGGGCAGGTGCTCTCCTGTTCTTCAGCCTCCTCCCGAAGGCGGGGAGGAAGGGGAGGAGGGAGGGGAGGAGGAGGGGGGGGAAGCCCCCGGGCCCCGGGGGGGCGGAGGGGGGCCGGCCGGCGGGGGGGGGGGGGGGGGCCCTGGGCGGTGCAACTCAGGGTGCTCCCCGCCACCCCCCAAAGCCAGGCAGCCCATAAGCTCGCCCTGCCTCTGAGCTTTCTTCAGCTCTTTCTCCGCCTCTTTTAGCAGCCCCTTGAGAGCCTTCCGGGCCAGGTAGAGCCCATTGGGAGGGGCCGGGGGAGGGCCCTGCGGGGAAAGCTGGAGGACATAGATGTCAGAGGTCTCGCCATCTATGAGGATGGACACACGGTGCTCCTCCCGAAGCCGGGCCAGCCGGGCTGGGGTCTCCTTGCTCAGGAAGTCCCACACAGGCTTGGAGACGGTCACTTTGTTCTTGCAGGTGCCTCCACAGGCTGCCATTCTGGACAGGACGAACGACACTGCCCCCAGGGTGAAAGGGACTCAGGGTGGGGGGGTCCCCATTTGACAAAATCAGTGCCTCCTACTTCAGGTTCCTTTCCAACCCTCTATTACCTCTACTATCTTCAAGTCCAACCCCCAACTCCTCCCCAAGCTCATTTTCTGTCTCCTCTTAGCTTTCAAAACCCAGCACCCACCGAAGAGCAAGAAAGTTTCTATAACTTTATTACTATCATCATCTGAGCCAAGCACCAGTCTTGGTTCTCTTTACACTCCTCCCAAGATCACAGAAACCATCCGGCCCTCCTCCCTCTGGGTGAAAACTGGCTTCTTTAAAGGGAAGGGAGAACTTTTGCTCACTTTGATCCTGAAGAGCTTAGAATTGGCATGCAGGCTCTCTCTCACTGTCCCTGCTCCCTACTTGTAGGTTGTGTGACCTGGTGGGTGGAAAGGAAAAGGAGGGAAAGTGAGAAACCTGTACCCCCTCCCACATGCCCCAGCCCAGCAGCCCATGTAACAGAAGACTGGGAACCTGGGTGTAAGTTACTGGGAATGGGATTACTTGGCACATGGAATGGAGGAAACCAATTTAAAGGCGAAAGCTGAGTTTCCCTTGGGAGGCAGATACCTGGAAAGCCCATGGACAACGAGAGCAGCAGAAATCCCTCTAGTTCCACACTCAGCTGACCAGGACTAGGGGGAAGGGGGAGAATAGAGAGTAGAGGCTCCTGATGAGAAATGTTACCATACCCCCCCTCACCCCCACTCCACCAGCAGGCCAGAAACAAAACAAAAACTCCTCTTCCATTTCCTCTCCTCTTCTGGAGAACTGCCTCCCCAGCCTCTCCCAAGTTGCTAATGAGGGAACTTCAACACGCTAACTTTCCTCTTTTCTTCCCCAGCTCTGAGGCTCTAAAGAAAGCCTAGGGCACAGATAAGAGAAGTCAGGAAGGGAAAAGCCCACACAGATAGAGGTCTTTCTAGCCACCTCCCTCAGATCACATGAGTAAGACTGTTCCCTATGATCCCCAACTCCTCATCCTACCCCATATTCCCAAATAATTCAGCCCCTATTGCTAGGGAGCCTTCTTTGAGAGCTAACCCAGTCCCTTCTGCTGAAGTCTGTTTGGAATGCGAACAAAGTGGCCGCAGCCCCTAAATAACTTCCGGTCACCTTTTTAAACCCTGCCTGGGGGCAAGCAGTAAGCCTGTCAGCAAGTCAGTCTGCATTTAGGGAGGGGTGGGGCTCAGCAGGGGCTCAGCTGGAGGAGACTTCTGTTTCCCCTGAATCTTACCATGTTCAGCTATAGAGCTGTCCCTGCAACACCCCCAAATGTAGCTCAAATAGAAAGAGGGGCCATTAGTGTGACCTCAGTTCCTTGACTGATCCAAAGGGGAGCGGCTCTCTGTTTGTGCCTCCATCATAGTCCCCTCAAGGCCAGATGCACCTCTAGATTCAGAAAGTGAAACAAAATCCTAGAACCTCAGCTCATTCTGTCTATCCAAGGTGGAACACCCCCTCTCCATCAGAGGGAACCCAGGACCTAGATGTCCTTAGCCTCAAGTCCTGCTGGCACAGAAGAGGGAGGCGGGGCCACAGCTTATGCTGGGTCTCTGATTCCTCTGGGGCAACCCAGGCCGGACACGGGGCCAGTCCCTCCCTCCAGACAGAGGCCAGACGGGGACAGCCGGTAAGGGCGAGGGTCTCTGGGGGCATCAACTGAGTCAGCCCCACCCATCCCCCATGACCTCCTGCAAGATCCAGAACCAATCCCCACGTCCCCCTCTCGCCGGAGCCCCCAGAGCCCCACCACTGGGTGGGGGTGCATGTCGGCCGATCGCGGTCCCCAGAACCCCCAAATGGAGGCCAAGGCAGGAGGGTGATAGGAAGAGAATCGCCCAGGCGTGGAGGGGGTCCCCGGCGCTGCGCGCAGGTAAGAAGGCGGAGGAGGGGGCGCAGGGGGGCAGGGAGGGCGCGCGAGGGGTACGAGCGGGGTCCTGGGGGCGCGCGGTGGGTGTGGGGGGCGCCGGGCTCACCTACCTCCCGTCAGCGCCGCCATTGCCGGTCACATGACTGAGGCTGTTGCTGGGATGACGGTCTGGGCCTTAGCAACAAGGGGGGGGGAGACCCCGAGAAGGTGGGGGGGCAGTTTGCAGAGGGGGTGCAGATTGAGAGAAAGGGTAGAAGAACGGCACCCGTTTGCCCCGTACAGGTGATAATCACCGTTTCCCTTGACCCCCTTCCATCCACGAGCCCCTGCCTTTCCGCCCCAAAACAAAAATGGAGGCGCCGTCCCAGTCTTTGGAGGGAGGGGGTGGCGTGTGGAACCGAGGGTAGGAGGTTAAATCTCTTAGAGACGCCACCCTTTTTGCTTCCCTCTCCCGGGAGGGGCCCTCTCCCTTTGCTTTTCCAGCCAGCTGCGTGGCAGCTTCTGCAAGCTGGTGGTGGATGGGTGGGCGAGGAGTGTCGGTTTAGGTAGGTGGGGAAGGGGACAATTTTTTTTGTGATCCTTATGCTATTGCTAGAAGGACCTTTGAGGAATAATTTGGGATGGGAAGAAGAGTCATAGTAAGAAAAACACTGGTTCCAAAAAATAAACATACCCCAGGACTAAACTATTTCAATCCCTTCCCTCCTTGCTTGCCTTTTCCTAGATTGTTACCTTCTGTGACCCCCACAACCCGCTCCCAGATGGGTGTTGGTAAGTGCCTCTGACTTCTGTTTCCACCAACAGGGATAGCCTCAGTAGGCTATTGCAAAGTGCGAAGTGAATGCATCTTTCAAAAAACGCCTCGGGGTGGGGGCTGGGGGTATTAAGTCTATGGTTCCAATAGAGTTAAAAACTCAAATTAAAAGCGGCTCTGCACTGTTCTGCTTCCCACATCAGAGAAATCTCCGCCCCCAGTCCAATTCACTTCCCTGGGGCCACATCAAGCCAGGTTTTTCCACCAGCCAGAAGACCTCCTCGGCCAAACAGTACTGGATCTCCTAGGCTGGCAACAACTTCTATTCATCTACCCCTTTCTCCACTCCCCTCCCTCCAACTCTGGGCTGGAGGGTTGGTCTCTTTCTTCACTTTCCCAGGACCCTGCTGTACTACTCATCCTGCTCTCCAGACAGAAGACATCTTTCCCAGGAAGCCTGGGGAAACACCCAGTTCCTTCTTTTAGCTCCTGCCAGTGTGCTCTGAGAGGTTCAGTCACCTTTACAGGAATGGGTATGTGACCAAGCCCAGAACCCTGGGGGAGAGGGGAGCATCACATCAGCTGTTCTCCATGGCCCCCCAACAGCTGAACTCCCACAAAACTGGGAGTAAGTTTTCCATTCCCATGCACACCCCTCACAACCTTTTAAGTTCACAGCTATCTATCTAGAAACCCACATTCTTAGTTAGGGGTCCAACATCTTAAAGGTCGGATCTGGTCTCCATACCCGTAAGCACAGGGTTCCTCAGAAAGGGGGTGGGGGGAGGCATGTCTGTGAAGGAAAGTGGATTCAATAACTTATTTCCTATATAGTGACAGCAGTGGGAGTAAATACACAAGATCTTTATTAATTAATAAAACAAAAAAGAGGAAAACAGGAGCAACAAAATGAAGACCATACTGCTCATGATACATCAGCCACATGGTCAGAAAACCAATTTCTAAAGAGCGACAGCTGCTGGTGTCATGGAGTTTTATTGCATTCAACAGGGGAAAGGTAGATGGTTGGAATGAAAAAGATGAGCAGGCCTCTGATAGGAAGATATTATAGGGGCTCTAATCCTTAACTGTGGACTCCTCTTGTTACTTCCTTTGGAGCAAAAGATGGAGAGGAGAGAGGAATTCTCCTTTATGACTATATGACTTCTTGTGAGACAGATCAGTCCACCTAGATACAAAGAATCCTTGCATCCCCACAGGCCAGTTGCTAGTGCTCATCTTTATGTTAAAATAAAGTGTGGAAGCCATAGAGGGGATAGAGAGTAGCAAGAATGGTTGCCTTGGCCCCAAAGGCATCAGAGGATGGGGAGGACACTATCTGGGTCATCAGAGTCCTCTACATTCTGAGACTATCACATGGCACTTCAACTCTTTGGAGGGGGCTGGGTGATTGAGTTATGGCTCTGACTCCTCTCTGGGGGTGGAGAGTGAAGATGACAAAGAAGTCCATCTGTCCCCTGGGAGACACAGTTGCAGAGATGAGACAGAAAAGTACAGAATAACAAAATCCAACTAGAAAAAAAGGGTCTGCAAAGGGCCTGGGAAGGCAGTATGCTAGGTGCACACCTCCAAGAAATAGAGGAGAGGAGGGTCCCACACTTAAGTCCTTCATCCTCTTGAGATGACCAGGAATGACCCAGGGAGAGAGATTCCCTTCCGCTGGGAATAAAACCTCAGGGATGGCTAGACATGAAGAGAGGAAATTTAGCACTGGGATGGACCTTGTACCCTGGCCCATCATCCCAGCCTCCAAAACTGCCCACACCCCCACTGAAGGGTTCCAGCCCCAGGATGGGTATGAGGTCCTGGCAGAGAGCAGCAACAGTCAAATGTCTTCACCCAGGCTTGAACACATTGGCCATCTCTGGGCTCCTGTGCCCAGTACGGGGGTGGGCACTGAAAGGAGGGTGAGGGAAGAGACTGGAGAGTAGTCAATTCTTCACAGGCACCTTTTCCCATTCCCTGTATAATTTCAAGTGTCCTCCTGGGTCCCACCTCTGTGAAGTGTCAGCCAGTTCGCCCCTCCCCACCCCAGTAGTGTGTAAGATGGGCCATATCCCATCACATGTGTGCATGCCAGCACCCACAGCTGTAGTATCTTGGAGGTCCTCTATCCCAGGGCCTACTGGGAAGGAAGCAGGCCACAGTGAGGTCTGTAAAGTTATCAGCAAAACTCAGGCCCTCCCAGTTCATCGCACACAGCAGAGCGCATCTGGAGTAGCTGCCTGAGCCAGATCCATTCGTGCAGTCAGGTCCTGAAGACGGCAAGTAACCCCCTGCCCCTGTCTCCTCCTATGTTCTAGAAGCAACAGGACATTTACAAAGATCAAGGCACTTGGGAGTGAGTCAATAGTAACACTCTAATGAAGCAAGGAGAAGGGTTGGAGGGGAGGGAGAAAAGGAAGAAAACCGTACAGGGGGAGACAGGATAATGTATTTCTGAGGGTCAGGAGAGCCTACTCGACAAGATGGAGTGATCTGGATGCAGGGAGCCTGTAGCTGGGACTTTACAAAGGGGGAAAAGAAGAAGTAGTGGTCAGCATATCCACAATTCCCCCAAGGCTCTCAGAACCTTGCCACCTTGAACAGAAAGCAGCAGTCAGCAGAGTCAGTCTCTTAAGCGAAGATGTTGGTAATAAAATCCAGGAATCGCTTAGCATACTGCTCAGGATGGACAGTGGAGATCTCTGCCCCAGCCTGTGAGAGGAAGTATGGAACACCATGTCAGATCACCCCTCCCCTCCCTGCCCCCCCATTCCACTACACACCACTTCCATACCCGGCCCTTCGTGCTTTTGCCACCCCACTGCTCTGGCACAGAGGGCTCCCTGTTCCCCAAGAGTCAAAAGACAGGAAAGGAGAGGCTTTGGGGAACCCTCACCCCATGCTTAACAGTTTTGGCTGCATGAGCTGCCTTCTTCTTGGCATCATACTGTGTCAGGATGTCGATGAGGCCCATGAAATACACCTCCTTCTGGGGGGCCCCTGGGGACAGAAACGAGCAATGAAGAGCAAGTACAGTCCCAATTCCCTTTCCCCAAGAACCAGTCAGATCTGGTTTGAAAAGCTAACCAGACTCTCTCCCACCACCCTGATCTCAGTCCACCACGGCCAACCCTCGCCCCCCACCAACACCATTAATATTCCCAGGATCTCTCTCACCCTCAGCACTCCGGATGGCGTAGACGTCAATGAAGGACTCAAACTCTCCAGGGCCCAGGGGCCGATGAGAATGGATGTAGCCGCCGATACCCTCAGGGGAGGTGCCATAGGAGCCCACCAGAGCGGGTGGTCCTGTCAGGCCACAGTCCCCATCCCCCTCCGACTCCTCCTCCCGCACAGGCCCCTCCTCCTCTGAGTCAGAGCCCCGAATGATGTCGTGGATGCCCAGCAGAAGGCTGTAGTCCATGATCTTCAGCTGCACTAGGAACTGAGACCCCACTGACAAATCAGATCCCTCAGACCTCCTTCCCCACTCCCAAGCACCACCCTACGCCTCCACTCCTGAGTTTCTGGGGCCCTCCTGGGGAAAGGAAGGATGAAATTGAGGGTTGGAAGGGAACCACTGTCCTTTAGTACATCGATGTCCTGGTATCTTGAGGTCATCCTTTTAGCTGATTCTAGCCACTCCCTCCATGGGTCACCTCTAAGGGTTTTTCATGTCCCATACCCAACTCCCCTACCTGCAGAGAACCCAAAGAATAAAGGGAAGGGGAGCAGTTCCCTCAGACTAGGAATGGGGAGCAAAAGGAACACCCTGTTTCCCAAGCACTCTGATCATCACCTCCACATCTCTCTTTAGCTTCTCCAGAAATACTTTCTTCTCCTCTTCACCAATATAAACCTTCTGGTTCTTATTGAGAAAATCCATATCCTTAAGGGTGGGCAGTTCTTTAACCTGAAAGTAAAGGGACATCTTAGGAACACATCCCTTCCCCCAAGGTCTCAGAGAACAATGCTCTCTCTGGGGCTCTATGCCTAACTCAGTGGCCTTGAGGGGTGAGAGCTCTTCCAGCCCCTCTCTGCCTCCACACTGCCCCAGAGGCTGCTCTCAGCTCTAGCAGCTTCTCCAAACTCAGTCACTGCCATGGTACTCCACATCACATCCCACCACCTTCTGCTTATGGTCTTCAGTCAAGACCCCTCATGCTGACTTTTCTTTCTTTTTCTTAAGCAAAAGCAGCTGCTTGAATACAAGAACCCAGAATGGGAGATAGAGGGTAAGCATTTCTCTCTTGAAGTCTGTCATCTCCAACCATCATCGAACCTTCCAGATGGGACAACCCACACCAGTGAGACAGCAGCTGACCCCTGGCTCAGCACCAGTCCACACCTCTCTTCCCTTCGGTGGTTTCAGATAAGAACAAATAGCTGGTGACCCCTACCTCTATCCTAAGGAGGTCCCTTCATCTGCCCGCCCTCA